TGTCTCTAGCAATATTGAAAACGAAAATGTAACCAATGCTATGTCTTTTGTACACAACAGTGTCAGAGACTGTTTTTGCAATAAGATGAAGAAAAAAATTCAAACGAAATTACAGATTTCTTACATTAAAAAGTGCATTGTTATGTCATATTTTTAATTAAATTTGTCAATTTGTTAGTATGTGTCATTTTTTACCTTTATTTTTGTATTAAATTACTGAAATTAATAACATATTCGCCGAAAATTGTTTTTTTTTTTTTTTTTTTTTCAGTACGCTTAGTATGACGACCGCTTAGTATGACCATTTTTCGCCGTCCCTTGAATGTCATACTAAGCGGATTCTACTGTATATATATATATATATATTTACATACCATCTTCTTGTGGTGTATACATGTAACTTTCGTTATAAAATTGTATTGATGTCTTCCAAGAACCTTTGCTAAATGCTTCATTTCCTTTATCTAAAAAATAAAAATCTTATTAAATATATTTTGCAACAGCATATAAACTTATTTTGTACAATTGCAGAACATAGATAAGTAAATCATTCAATTTTGTTTCTATTTTAACCACAAACATGAAAAACCTAGTTCTAAGTTTAAAAAGTATGTTTAGGCGAACTGCTAGGAATTGCTTTTCAAATATTTTAAATATATTGTTACTTACATTTATTAAATTAATTATATACTTAATTTGCAATGTTTGGTGTAATGTTTTAAATTACTTTGTTTTTTAAAAACACTTGAGTGTAAGTATAAAATATAAATAAAATATTCTAAATATTAACCTTTTAATTCCAAAGCAATTTTCATATCCTTTCCTCCACCTTTGGCTTCTGGTACCAATTTCACCAAACTTTTACCATTTTGGGATTTGTTTGCAAACTTAAACCAAAAAAAATAAAAAAAATTATAAACTTAATAATAGTATATTATTTTGTATTATATTATTTTATCACAATTACCACTGTGTATTTCTTTTCCAATTCATCAGCCAATTTAATTAATTCCAAGCGATTTTTTGTGGGTTTAAATTGTTCCAATTCGGATTCCTGAAGGAGGTTCATCAGATTCATTTGGTATTCACCGAATTTTGTTTTTGCACCTTGAAAATAATAAAATTAATAATAATAATAATAATAATAGAAATATTAATAAAAGTTGTCAACCAAACGAAAATTGGTCGATATCTAAATGTTTGAGTAAGAGTTCAAAAAGTAAATTCTTCTAATTTTGAAATAATTAAATATGTGTATAATAAAACCAAATTTTCTCAAAAGTTTCTGAAAGAGAGGACATCCCATATCCTTAAAACATTGAATACAATAATTAGAAATTAACAAATTATAATTTGTTTGATATCTAATGTTTTTGAGTAAGAGTTCAATTGGTAAAAAAGTGAATTCTTCTAATTTTAAATTAATTAAATATGTGTATAATTAAAAACAAAACTTGTCAATAGTTTCTGAAAGAGAGGACTTCCCATATCCTTAAAACATTGAATACAATAATTAAGAAATCAAATTACATGTAAAAATAATTTCTAGTAAAAACTTTTGACAACTTTTACCTCTGGGTTCATCCATTTTAATTCTGTTAAACACTTTTAATTAATTCACAATTAGAAATTAATACAACATAAGTTTATAAATACACTTTTATAATTACACTTAATTAAATCACATTCACAATTAAACACTAACACATCGCATTAATTAATTTTAATGATTTTTTTATCAATAAGTGTATTCAGTTCGTGTTTAGTTTAGTTTTGTTAAACTAATTTATTTAAATTCAAACTCTGTTAAAATATAAATATATTTTATTTGATTTTATTTTATTTAAACGTGCATGGTTTCCAGTATGTCTTGACTGAGTGTTTCTAAAGTTATTTTTAAAATATTTCTCTGTGAGATTTATTTATAAACTCAGCAGCAAAATGAAGCTTTGTGCTGACAAAGACGAGGCGATAAAACTAAAGTCGAATTTCCGATAACGCGGTTTTCTAAGAACGCGGTTTTTATACTAGGGTTGACAAAAAATCACCAAATATCACTTGAAAGTATGGGGCCAGTAAGATATTACGTAAATTTATTTTTTATTTCAATTTGAAAAAAAAAATCATAAAATTTCTAAAAAAAATACATAAATTTTGCGATTTTTTTGTAATCACTAAAAATACACAATGTTGGGTGTAATTTTGGATCACAACCCTCTGATAACCCGATTTTCCTTCAAAAACCGAAAAGTTCGCTCAGCGCCATCTATGAATGTCTTATAATGGACATAGGTATTGTTATTAAAGGTTTTAATATCGACTATTTTATATTTTACATGCAATTTATTTATATCATAGCAGTGCACGATATCGGTTTTAATAGTGTCAGAACTCTTACAAAGAATTTTTTTATCTTTTTGAGCTGACAAAGACGTGGCGATAAAGAGATTTAAACTAAAGTCAAATTTCCGATAACGTGATTTTTCTGAGAACGCGGTTTTTATACTAGGGGTGTAGTTAGGAGTTCTAGTAAAATATCTCGTTTATTTGAATTAATTTTTTACTTGAAAAATCCAAGATATTTCAAAAAAATGTAAATAAAAAACATGATTGAAGTGAGGTGCGGCGGGGGAGGGTGGTGACTAAAAATTCCTTAAAAATCGATCACGTGATTAAAGTACGGCTCCCTAAGTGAGGCCAAAATTGCGAACACACTCCAATAACACGATTTTCGTCGTTAAAAACCCAAAAGTTTCCTCAGCGCCATCTATGAATGTCTTCTGTAACTAGATATTGTTGTAAAAGGTTTTAATATCGACTATTTTATCTTTTACATTAATGTGGGAGTTTATATCATAGATGTGCACGATATTGGTTTTAATAGTGTCAGAACTCTTTTACAGAAAATTTGTCTCTTTTTTTTCTTGTTTTTTTTTTTTGACTTTTTTTTTTACTTTGTACACATGTACATTAGTCATATATATTTTATAAGTTAACTTTACAATTTTATTTTATTATATAGCGCACCATATATTTTTTTTTCACAGAAAGTTAGTGCATGTAACCCCTGCATAACACGTACTTCTATAACACGGATTCGCTCCAACACGGTTTACGAATTGAGACCATCCCCCTCATAACACGGTACTTTCTAGTTCGCATAACACGGTTTAAGAATTGAGGAAAGTTTTAATAAAATAAGAAATATAGTAAAACCTGTAAAAAGCAAACTTTTAATCTAAAATTAGTAAAATCGCCGTACAATAGCTCAATAAATGTGATGAAACTAGTGCAAAAGGTGACTAATTTGATATATATTATTAGAGCGCGTACGTTCTATCGAAAAAAAATCTAGGATTATCGGAAAAATATATTAAATAATTCTTAAGCAATTCTTTAAATAAAATGTGCATAAAAGTTTAATAAAGATTACTTTACATGTGCTAAATATATAAATATCATTTTAGTAAAAGCGAATATAAATTTTTGCAAAAAATAATGCATTGATCTGTAGGTAGTATAGAAAACTGCTCAGAGGATGAGGATATCTTGCAAAAAAAAGATCATGTTTAATAAGCACTAACTTGTTAATTATGACAAAAAAAATCATATAATTCAAGTAATGTATATTACTTCTTTGAAAAAAATGGATAAATGTAACAATATTCATTATAAAATCATGATATGTAGCATGTTTTTATAAATTCTTGGAACATGCTCCCTCTTTTGTTTTTGTACTAGTTCTTTGTCCCTTATAACACGGATTCGCATAACACGCTAGTTTTCTGGAACTTAACTACCGTGTTGTACGGGGGTACCTGTATTCTAAAAAAAATCACCTAGTACAGTTTTTTAGTTTATCCAGTAAAATTTTTATTTGTTGAAGAAAATACTGATGCTTTATTTAAATACAACAATACATATATCATGTGCATCTATATTATCTACTTTTACTAGCATTATAATTTAAATCCTTAAAACAATTTTTACACACAGATTGTCAAGTTAAACGTATCTCTATTTCAATTCTTAATAATATATACATTTTAAACTAATTAATTATTTTATATAACTTAAACACGAAAGGGAAATCGTATAGGTCAAAACTTAGTAAACCACAAAAAACAACTTTTTTCTTAAAACCAATACTAATTTATATTGCTACCCTATCGTCGGGGTCACCAATTAAGTAAAAAAAAATTACTAATGATGAAAAATTATACAAATTCATGTAATTAAAAAAAATTGGTCGGTTATAAAAATCTATATGTCATGACTTCATTGTTTTTACTTTCTTTAAAAACCAACACAAATTAAGTTAGGGTTACCAAATTAGTAAATTCACTTACTACTAGTAAAAAATTATACAATTGCATTAAATTCTTAAAAAAATATGATTGGTTGTAAATATAGAAATGTCATGACTCTGTTTATCTTTAAAAAAAAACTAACGCCATACCTTTTTGTTAAAGTACAGTTGGGGTCAACAATTTAGTAAAAACAATTACTATTAATAAAAAATTATGCAATTTCATTAAATTCTAAACAAATGTAATCGGTTATAAAATTCACCATGTATTATTTTTTTCTTCTATCAAAACCAACGCCAATTTGTATGGCTACAATATTGTCGGGGTCACCAATTTAGTAAAAAATTTTGTTTTATTTAATTAGTAATTACTGTGAAACATTTTTTCGTTTTGTGGTTTACTTGGACGTAGTTTTGACTTGAAATATTACTTAAAAATAGTAATAACTTATATAACTTTTATGTAAATATTTAAATTAATATAATATTTTCTTATATTATAATGGTTTTGTTCTTGGATAAGCTTATTCCGTTATTTTACCGTAAAATCAGAGGGCGAAATTAAACAAGACCTTTGGGTACAAAAAAGAAAAAGCTTATCCAAAAATATATATTATATATTTATAATTAAATCTATCGATATGTATTAATAATGAATATGAAAATAATTTTTGGTTTCCGTTCAAATGTTTTTGTTTTTTTGGAAGGACAATTAACACAACCTTAAGAATTCCTGTCACGAACCTCATGAATTGAATTAGATTTTCATAAATAGAAATGATGATTGCGAATTTATGATATTTACAAAATTAAATTAAACTTATGTTTTAGAAATCGTAAGATCCGACACCGTTTTTGCCGACTTTGAAAATGTATTTGTAGATCAAACCTGCCAGGACTCCTCCTGCTATTGGTCCTACCCAGTAAACCTAAAATTAGAAAAAGATAATGAACTTTTTGATAATCTGAAAATGAACATTTTCAAAATAATTACATTTTTAACTAATGCCAAAAAACTACCAACGGAAAAAAATACTTTGATCATGGATTATCAAAGATTACCATTTATCTCCCGATAGCAAAGTCATAGGAATCAAGATTATAGCTGGTTATACATCTTTTTCCCTTTACTTTCAAATATTGTTGTTAAACAATGCTTAATTTTACTGGTTTTTGACACATCGGTGGTGGACCATTTTAACCCCCGACCTTCATATATTACTATCTATTCTTCGATAAATTCTGGGAAATTATAACTGGGAAAATGTTATTCGACAAAATGTCCCTTTAATCGATACCAAATTTAGGTTCTGAATTTAAATAACATAAATAAAAAATAATATAACCTAGAAAATGTTTTATAAATACCAATGAGTATGTAATTATACAAATGAGATCTTTCGGAGCACCGTGTTTGAGAAAAATATGCCAAAAAGTGCATTTTCATATTAACATTTCAAAAAAGTTGATATTTTGAGTTTCTAGTAACACTAGCGATTCGTTTAATAACGTTTTTGTGTATAAATAAAACTACAAACACAACTACTTACTACAATTTGATCGTAATGAAATAATATCGACGCAAAACATCCGATTAAACGTAATTGAACATCATCTGTGAAAAACGTTTGACATTTGACGTATTAGCCACCGTCCATTGTTTTATTCAAATTGCGTTTCTACAAAAATGTTCAAATTAAAAATGTAAAGTTTCTACGCGATTTTGAAATGATATCTCACCTTTCCGACGACCTACTGATTAGCACGAATTTTTCAAGTCTAAGACTGGCCAAATCGATTTAGCCGTTTTCGAGTTTTAGCGGATCATTTGATCGAGAGCTCCATTTTTATATATAAGATAAGATTAATGAAAAAATTATGCTATTTCATGAAGCTCTAAAAACTATTATTTGTTATAAAGATTTAGATGTTATAACTCTATTATTTTTGTCTTGAATAAAATTGGCAGGTTTAACGCCAACTTATAATTTTTACAGTTTTTTTGGGGTCACCAATTTAGTAAATGTATCCTTACCCAATGTTCATTGAAATCGTTCAAAATCACGGCAGGTCCTAGGGCTCTTGCAGAATTCATACTGCAACCGGTGAATTGTATCTGAAATATATATAAATCATAAGAAAATTTAAATCTAATAAGTAGAACCCGCGCGTTGCTCATCTCGGATTTTGATGAAACTTGGCACAATGTTAGATTTGATGCCCAAACTGACCGTGGTAAAATATTAGAGGCCTATGAAAAGCGGTTTAATTATAAAAATTAATAATAATTGCATTTTAGCATAGCTTGCAATGCTTTTCGTAATCAGTAACAGATTGGCCTAGAGGGTACCGTCGTGGAATTCTAATTTTTGCTCCGGGTTCAATTCTCGATTCAGGTTTAATATTCTTTATTATTTTTGTTTGATATTTAGAATTTCACGTGTAAATAATATCAACATTTATTTGAGTTTTCGATTAATTTTATATTTTTCCATAATAAAGTCCTCCGTAACACCTGTAAATTTTTATTTTAATATTACTTTTGAAACATACGATCATATAAATGTTAAGTTATTCCTGAAACATTATAATTTTGTATTAATAACAACAATAATACGGAAGATGAGATATAATTTATTTCCACATAAAAACTATGTTCAAATTTACTATTATGAGGATGATAGTAAGAGCCAGCCCAAGAACCTAATATTAATAAAAAAAAAATCTTTTTGACACATGGCTCCAAAACATTATTAATAAAATTTATTCACTGCAGTTTTTATGTTTTTCTTGTTTCTGCGATAAATACAATCCCTACAATTGTGAATTTTAACATAGTTTTTATATGGAAATATATCATTTCTATACGGGTTGATTGTGATTAGTCGTTGTGAATAGAGATCTGTCGTTGTATGCGTACCGGCATCAACGTTGTATGCGTACATATACCAACAAGGAAATCGACATAGATAGATAAATAAATATTTTAAAGTTACATCATAGTACAAATCTTGATTTAATGAAAAATGCCTGAATCAGAAGAATATTTTACCCCGTTTCTTGAAAATAATAAAACAAATTGAACATTTGTGCTGTGTACTAAACATAAGTTAATCGATTAGAAATTATTTCTATATTATTTGTAGTTTTTATAAATCTTGGAAGTTATTGAAATGGAAAATATTTTCTAGACAAGACACATATTACAGTTGTTCAAAGAATGAGATTATATCGCCAGCGAAAAAGTAAAAAAAAATACAAGCAGTCAATGAATGTATGTTAATTTCAATTACATGATGAGTTCTTCCAACACAATTATTACATGATGAGTGAAGTTGCGAAAACAATATTTGTTTAGGCATTGTTTAACGTAATCCACTGTGTGAACGAATATTAAAAGATTTATTAATCAGCAATTACTTCATTTCTCTGATGAAGTTTCATTTCTAAATGCTAATTACAATAACAAACCGATCATGTCATATTTGAAGTATGACTTGAATTACATTATTATTTTTAAATATTATACATATTTTTAATGTTATAAATATATAATTTATAATTCATTACTATATAAGTATGTATAATGTTTGATACTAATAAATGCGTACATTACGAGTGTTACCATATCACTAATGAATATTATTCAAAATTGTTATATGATGTATTTATTTCTAACTTAAATGCCATCTCGTACAGTAGCAAATAAGTTTTACTTCAATCGCGTGTGAACCTTATGCGCACTCTTTTTTTTAAATATTTCGGTTACAATTATAAGTTTTTTTTACTCACAAATCCGATATGACAGCAAAGAACAGCCAGACCTATGGCTGCGGGCGCGTTTATTCTGGAGTGATCCTCGCGGTTGCTGTCGCAAACGGCATGGACAGTCATAACCTAATTTAGGGATAAAAATATAAAAAATAACTTCACATACTCACAAATCTCTTTATTTTGCTTATATTTCAAAATTAAAATTATCTTACCAATATAAATGTGACTAAGAGCTCGACTGCAACAGCGTTACCACTGGTAACTCCTGAACCGGGTTGGGTTAAGCCCAAACCGTCTTTAACTGGATCTATAGCCTGAAGGGAAAGGATTGTTTAAAATAATATTTGACTAAATATTATGTAGTCTAAAATTTTGTAGTTTAAAATAATATTCGCTAATTTGTTGTTCTTGAAGTATTGTTGTTTTTAAAATATATGCTGATAAAATTGTGACCATGGGAGGTAAACATAGAACAAATGTGCCTTACCTTGTTTTAGTGTTTTTCGCGCTCAACAGAGTTTCTACTGTGCTCTTTATCATTATTTTTAACGAACTGATTTTCCAATACATGTATTTCAAAATGCAAAAAATACACTTAAATTAAAAAAAAATAAGATTTATAGCTAAAAATTTAATAAGGTACCAAAGTGTTATAGACTATGATGTAATTGAAGCTAAAATGGAAAAGCGAACTCTGCCGATGAGCAAATCCAAATAAAATGAAAAACACTCTAGTTACAAGCAAATTAATTGGTGAACTAGTTGTGTGCATGACATCGTGCATTAAGGCAAATTGCTGGAACTTCTCCTACCTTAATCAAACATTTGATGAATGAAAATAATCAATAACTGTTTTCAAATAGATTATTTATTATGAATACATACTGTAATTTAGAGGTGCTTATTAAATTAGGGTACGAGCGTATTCTACAAATAACTTATGTGTATGTTTACATGAAATTTGTTCAATTTTGTTTAAATTAGATTTTTTTGATAATTTAGTTTTTTTTCAAAATTTTTTTATATGTTTGATTTTTTGGATTTTTTTTTTAAAAAAGTTTTTTTTTTAATTTTTTGACAATTTGGAAATTTTTGAATATATGCGATTTTTCTGAAAATTTCGAAAAATTCTCATATTTTAATGTATGTAATGTAAGAAATCGATTTTTCTTAATTGTGATATTTTTGAAATTTAATTTTTTTTAGATGAAAAATTTCGAAAATTTGATTTTTTGACAATTTTCAAAATTTCGAAATTTTCTGTAAAAGCATTTTTTGCACACCGTCTACTCAAGCAAAATGTATTTTGAATTATTTTATTCGTATGATTCATTCTCTCAAAAACTGCATAACCGTTTGCACCTCCGAAAAGGCTAGACGTACATTTTGCAAAAACGTTCGTGATCGGGTACGAACCCAATGATTTTTCAATCACACAAATCGGTTATTCCATACTGTCGAAAACTTCGAGAACATTTGTTTGAAACCATATACTTGAATTTTAAAATTAAAAATCTTGTTACGGAATCCAAAAAAAGACACAAAATGTGTACACATTATAAAATCTCTATAAAATATTTTATGATTTCTGTCCCGTATCTCCGAACCGTTAGACCTGCCTTTGCCAAAAACTAATCGGCACGTCTCCTTATCAATACGAATCGAATGTTTTTTGAATTATCCAAATCGGTTGATCGGTGTTTCCGAAATCGTCGGCGAAAATTGTATCCGCACACACACACACACACACATACATCCATTTTTCTAAGGTATGCCAAAATGTTCAGAAACTCTGAAACATAAAGATATATAAAAAATTTCATTTTCGATTTTTTTTGCGATTACTATAACTTACCCTACGGGTAAAATTTTCATGATATTTCAAGTATAAAAAATCATATTTTCCAAATAGGTGATTTTTTTTCAAAATTTAAAAAATCTCAAAAATCGATTTTTTTCAAAGTTTTAAAAAAACTTAATCTTTTATAAAAAACTTAATTTTTGGTACGGGAAGTTCCAGCAATTTGCCTTAAGGCACGATGCCATGCGCCCCACTTGTCTATCTATCTAGGAAATTTTATAAACTACTCAACACATTTTTTAAAGAGCAAGTGTAACTTTCAGAATTATTCTGTGAAAATTAGATAAGATTTAAGTGAACACTTGTTTTTTTAAATTATATTTCATTTTTATATTGTATGTATTATTATCTATTAATTTAAGTTATGTACCATATAATATCTATAATTGTACAATTGTGTTGTATAAATATAAAAAAAAATATATCTATCTATCTACTTACGTGTACGATAGACGCCCCCACAATCGCCCCGACGCACTGCGCCGCCACGTAGCACATCGCTTTTACTAATCCGATCTGTCCGGTGACGAGCATACTGGCAGTCACGGCGGGGTTGACATGACCTCCGCTAACATGGGCAGTGAACTGAAAACAAAAAACAAAATACAAATGAAAAATCAGTATTGAACCTCTCCTCGACCACCAATGATAACAACAACAACTATAAGAATTGAATCAAAAATCAGTTATAAAACCTCTCCTCCACCACCAATGATAACTATTTATTATTTTTATTAATGACATTTCTGATATTATTAGCTGTCCACATATATTATTTGCAGATGATCTGCAACTATATCTCAAAATAAATTCTATTGATGACTGCTTATTATTACAGTCTCAACTTGACCTTTTCCACTCTTGGTGTATCTATAACAAATTACATCTAAATATATCAAAGTGCAAGATTCTTAGTTTTGCACATAAGCGCGTTCCAATACTTTTTTATTATAAAATTTCTAACACCAGCATTGATAGATGTAATAAAATTTCAGATTTAGGAGTTTTATTTGATTCTGGTTTGTTTTTCACTGATCATATAACTGATATTTGTAATAGAGCACATAAATCTTTAGGTTTGATACTGAGAAATTGTAAACAATTCAGTTCTAACAATGCACTTCTTTGCATGTACTATTCTAATGTAAGTTCAAAATTAGAATATGGTTCGACTATTTGGTATTCTCATCAAATCAACAACTCTGATGCGATAGAGAAGGTTCAACGAAAATTTCTGAAATACCTTTATTATAAAACATATAAAATTTACCCTGAACGTGGCTTTGACCACAACACTTTACTAAAAGAATTTGGTATTCCTTCCCTTGCCTCACATCGATTTATCTGTACAATTATGTTCTTATCTAAACTTTGCAATAATTCTATAGACTGTCCTCTTATTCTTAACCAACTATCCGTTAATGTTCCAAGGCTATCTACGCGTTCACAATTATTTTTTAATAATTCTACTCCTAAATCTAATACTCTCTTAAATTCGCCTGTTTTACTTATGTCCTCTAACTTTAACTTAATTAATAATGAAATAGATATTCACAACACTTCACCTAATCAAATAATCTCCATCTGCACAAGTTAACCTTTTCATTTTCTTTTCAAATATCTCATTATTTTATCTTATTCTGTTTATAAATAATATTGTTACATTCTGCATTATAAGTAATTTTATGTTAAGCATTTTGTGTTATTAACTATATATTGTAATTTTGTATAAATTTTAACTGTTATTCATTATATAAAATAATTGTATTTTTGGAGAAATCTGTGGGCTATATATTTAAATAAATAAATAAATAAATAAATAACAACAACAACTATAAGAATTGAATCAAAAATTAGTTATTAAACCTCTCCTCGACCACCAATGATGATAACAACAACTATAAGAATTGAATTCTTATAGTTCCATTGAATGATATGTCAGAATCGTGACTCTATCTGTCGCCTCGATTGGATTATTAAACTTTATAATGCGAAATGTTAATTCTGCATGAAAAATGAGGATGAGGCTGCCTTGATGCCGGCCAGGATGATAGGATGATGCGTTAATTGAACCATCTCTAGATCGTAGATCATGAGAGATCGGAGTTGAAAACGATAGGGGAGACCGGGAGATACGGGTAATACTGCAGAAAGACATTACCGAAGTTGGCGTAACTCTGGCGCATAACAGAAAAATGTTATGGCAATACCATGTGTTATGCGCCGACACTCTTATCTATTTAGCGTCACATTTATGCCTCTATGTGCATACTATCATATTTATTACTCTATGGACTCTACATCTCTCGAGTTCCACTCTACATTCTATGGACTATATATTTCCGGCTGGACAGAAGACCTCTACAATTAACACAAGGGACAGTCTCTCTCTATCTGTACGTCAAGAAACACATAACCTTACAATAACCTTTAATGAAGTTCTGTATAATAATATCTATATTCTGTAATAAATTTATAAAACTTGTGTTGTGTTTCAAAATATCAAAATTACCTCCATCGCTGAAGGCAAATATATAACACATGTTATGAAGAACTTTCCATACTAAATATTGACAAAAGCCATGCAGTTGGTGTGCAGTCAGGCGTATTTCTCGGGTTGTCAGATAGAAAACCGAACTTAGAATTCGCACAAATGTAAAAAAAAACGATCTCAGATAACAGGGACTTTCTGACTCGGCTTCATAACATACGAGTGACGTTGGAGTTTATGTGTAAAAAGCCCGAATGCACAGCAAATGCAATGACATTTTTACAGTATTCAATATGATTGAGTGAAAGTTGGAGCGTAACATGGTCTTGCCACAACATTTTTCTGTTATGCGGCAGAATCTGGTCCTCAATCGATTTTTTACCTACAGATCTACAGATTTTAATTTTTAGATCTATACAATTTTTTATCTAGATTTTTACCTATAGATCTATTGATTTTTATCTATAGATTTATAGATTTTTTTATTTAAACATCTTTATATTTTTTACGTATATTTGGAGTTTTTACCCATAGATTTATACACTTTTACCTATAGTTCTGTACCTACATATTTATAGATTTTTACCTTTATACTTAAAGACTTTTTATCTACACATTTATAAATTTTATTCTTATAGATTTAAACTGGCCTACAGATTTATAATTTTTTTGTGTTTAGATTAAAACAATTTTAACTTATTTATTTATACATTTTCACTGTCCTATAGATCTATAGAATTTTTCCTGTAGATTTTTTCCTATAGTTTTTCTCCTATAGATCTATAGATTTAGAGGTTTTTTTTTACCTGTACGTTTTTTTACCTATGCATTTATAGACTTTTTACTTGAAGATGTTTGATACAGATTTACGCATTTCGTTTTTAAATTTTATAAATTTTTATCTATTGATAACATTTTTACTTTTACTTGTATCTATACGCAAATATTTATACAATTTTTACCTATTCATTTGTAGTTATTCACTAACATTTCATAGACTTTACATCTATATATTTATAGACTTTTTCGTAACAAATTTATTGATTCTTCAAATATATATTTATAGAATTTGTAATAACAAATTTACATATTTTTTGCGATAAATTTATAGATTTATTCAAATTTTTACTTGTATATTTATAGATCTTTTATTTTAGAGCTATTGATTTTTGCCTATAGATTTATGGTATTTTTACCTTATATATTTCTAATGTTTGAATGATAAATTTTTATAATTTTTACTTGTGAATTTATAGATTTTTTACATATTATAGATATAATTTTTCTCCAATACATTTATTGATTTTTACTTACAACCCATCAATTTTTAGGCACAAATGTATAATGAAATAATATTTATTATTGTTGATGACGGCTTACTTATGAAAAAATAAATAAATAAATAAATTGATATTTTACTTATAAATTATACACGTTTCTCTTATAGATCTTTACATTTTTACCTATCTAAAAAGAATTTTTACTCTTGAAGTTATAGTTCTCGCAAATAATGATAAATTATACATTTCTATTACTAGATTTACAAACTTTTACCTGAAAACCTATAGATTATATTATAGTTTTCGTATCGATAGATCTTTACATTTTTACCTATACATAGACTTTTTACTTATACATTTATAATTTTTCTTTTATATAGATCCTTATAGATAGATCCTTACATTTTCTTCACCTATTCGTAGATTTTTTACTCATAAAATTATAGTTCGTTTTTAATCATAAATTATAGAAATTTCTCTTATCGATTTATGAATTTTTACCTAACAAACTATAGATTGAATTTTAGTTTTTATAACGCTAGCTTTTTACATTTTTACCTGCCGATAGATTTTTTACTACCATATTTATAGTATTTTTATAAATAATATAAATTTTTCTTAAAGATTTATAAATTTTTTACCTAACAAACTATATATTTTAGTTTTTATAACGCTAGAATTTTTACTATTATATTTATAGGTTTTTTCAAACAAATAGAAATTTCTCCTAAATATCTATAAATTTTTTACCTGGAAAACTATAGTTTACGTACCAATTAAATTATAGTTTTTTTTACTCATAAATTATAGGAATTTCTTATATCGAATTTAAAATTTTTTACATATAGAACTATAGATTTTTTACTTACAAATCTGTAGATACAAATTTTATTAGATCTGTAGTACAAATTTTACTTATCGGTTTATAAATTTTTTACCTACCCCAGGATATTCGGTTCGAGTCCTGGTACTGACAGAAGTTAGAAAAAAAAGTAAGGATAGAAAAAGGAAAATTGGATAATATATAGGATAAAAAAGATCAATTATATATAAAAAATTATAAACAAATTATTATCTATATAAGCTTCTTTTCCATCTGACGTCATAATTTTCTATCGGGATTATTTATTGATTTATTGCCGAGTCGCACCTTTTTATTTATCGTATTTTCTTACTTTATTATAATATTATTATTATTATTTGTCCTTAGCACAGAAAACAGTTATAAAAATAATTTACACAATCCGCAATTAGTAAGAAACGCATTACACTTTTCATACGCGCTAAACAAAATGATTTATTAATTCGTTCGTGTAATTATAAAATTATCTGTTTGATCGAATATAGGGAAGACTTGTGTAAAAACGTACAGATGTAATAGAAACAAGACTGAATATTATTTTCAATCTGAATAATAATAAAAAAACTCGCCTCTCTCTCGATTCGATCATCGTATCAAAATCAAGAGGGCCTCGTTTTAAATTTAATTTAATTTCTTTGACCCTCCCGAGTGCAAAAAAACGACGACAATTTGCAAAAAAATTCACACGTTGACTTTGAAATTAACTAACTCGCCTTACACACACACACACACACTTGAGACCTAATAACAAATTTCTAATCGGACGATGAATCAGAAAAAGAAAAAAATTGAGAGAAAAAAAAACAAGTAATAACAATAAATAAACACATTATACTGGTTAGACGGAGAGCTGGGGTAAAGAATACAAGAGTAAAGGATACAAGAATATTGATAATATATTTTTAGTCAAAAATAATAAAGTAATGAATAGATAGTGGTGTAAAAAATAGTT